AGCTATCCTCGTAATGAGGACCCTCGAATGGAGAACAGAGGGAAAAGGGAGAAACATCTCGCAACTAGCCAATCTCCCGTACGATAATCACGATAATAGCGACAACGTTGATAATTGCACAGCGTGGAAACAACGCAGTGTACGTGATGTTCGCGGCACAGAGAACAATTGAATAAAACCCCTGGTGTATAAGAACACCGTCTGCCACGAGTGTTTAGGTACTCGGGGAAAATACTCGGGTAAATGAAAAATTAACTCGTGCACTCTGTCATCCAAGTATCTACTTTCGGATAATTTTATTTTTGTATGGAGAGTGAAGTCAGGATATTGTTGTCTTTACTCCGAAAGAATTTTGAAATACTCGTTATTCGGGAGAGAATCTAGCTATCGTGTATCTAATATAATTGCCAGTAGTGCAAGAATGGTTGCAAATCCATCACATTTGTATTTTTCATTTGTCTGGATATTCCTCGGTAATAGCCAGAGTATCTGAATGTATTCAGATTATCGTAATTGCCAATAATTAATATAATATTTGTCTATTTATACGTTTGCAGGTTTATGGGAGTCTGCGTACACGAGGGACAGTTGCACGCGTTGACGGAATACATAAACGGCGGTAGCTTGGAACAGCTGATCATGTCGAGACACACGCCGCTACCTCATCCGATCAGGATGAATCTGGCGAGAGACGTGGCACGCGGCATGACCTACCTCCACAGCCGTGGACTCTTTCATCGCGATCTTACGTCGAAGAACGTACTGATCAAGAAGGACGAGAACACGTCGGAGATGACGGCCGTGGTGGGCGACTTTGGCCTGGCGGCGAAGATCCCCGATCCCAGTTCCGGATATAGGCTGAGCACCGTGGGTAGTCCCTATTGGATGTCACCGGAGTGTCTGAAGGGTCAGTGGTACGATCACAGATCGGACGTCTTCTCGTTCGGCATCGTGGTCTGCGAGCTGATCGGTCGCGTGCCGGCCGATCCGGACGTTCTACCACGGTCAGATAACTTTGGCCTCGATTACCTGGCCGTGGCAGAGATCTGCGCGGCAGCTGATCCGCCGCCAGCCTTCCTGCAGCTTGCCTTCGATTGTTGCACCGTGAGTAGAACACACAACTTCACCACGATTTTCCACTCTCGCTCGCGTGACTTCGACGGGGACCCGCCAGTTTAATTTTCATTTCAACTCTTTGTCTCATCAGCCATTCAGTGATTCGATACTGACTCCCGTACGAGTGCCATCTCGATCAGAAGTTATTTTAACAGCACTAAATTTTATTATTATATATACGAGTAAAATTGATGTGTGATCGTTTACCGTCAACATTTAAAGCTATATAAAATAGCTAATTGTTGCTATTAATGTAACTTAAACCGATGAAAATTATCAAGAAAATTATCTCGAGTGAAACTACATAAAACACAGGAGGAAAGAATGGTCCGATGGAAAGATGGCCGAATCTGCAGGTGTACAACACATATACTTAATGGTATATTATACATTTGAATAATAAATAATAATAATTGAATTAGGATATTAAAGCAAGAGGTGAATGGACTCTGTGATTATTCTCACGCTAATGTTCCATCTAACATATTGCATATCCATCAAGAGTACACCTGTATATATTTACAGTTATCATTTTACACGCGTTGGGGAATTTCTGATATCATTCGTTTCGTCGAATCTCGCGGAACCGTCTGTATTTTTAGTCTACAAATATTTCACGGTCGCGTGCATCGGCCTGGTTTCAGTACGAGCCGAAGTCGAGACCGACCTTCCAGGAGATCGTCTGCAGCCTGGACACAATGATCAGCAACTATGAGGAGGAAACGAAGAACAACATCGGCAAGCGTCAGTCGGTGGATCCTGCTCTGATGTCCAGCATGGACGAGATCACTCGAGAAGGACGGTCGACGAAACGCAAGACCGCTCGTCTTCGGAGTCAGTCGGCGGACGCGAGGGGTTGCGACAACGCGACGCCATCGGACAAAGCGAGATGTCACTCTGTGAGAAGAGTGGCGGAACTGGCTAGCAGAAGGGATCCGCATTACAGACCCATGACGGCGAATCCGTTCCACGCGTTGGGTGGTGTGAAAAAAATTCTCGGCGACCTGTTCTCCAGCTGCCTGGAGCTTCCGTCTTTGGAGGACGTCAGGCCGAGTGTCACCGATGCTATCGCCAAGTTCAAGCCGGCGCAGAACGACAGCATCGCGAAGATCTTGGACAGGAAGAAACCAAATTCAGAACCGAGCAGCCCCACTGCCAGGAAGAAATGGGAGAGGAAGGTACAGACAACAAAATGTTTAACATTTGTTCGCGATTTAATAATGGCTTGGTGAGCTAAATAACAGCTAATTGATATTAATTAGCTCGTCTAGGCGATCAAAGTAATTAGCCACGGCAGAGATCGCGTCTCGACGGAGTTAATTAGAGATGAAACGATAATTCGGTTTTCAGGTGGCTACGAAGGTGGGCGCTGCCAGCTTGTTCACCCATCCGCTTTTCCGTGACGGATGGGAGCCAAGGAGGCGCGGTAGCTGCGAGTCGGGCTTCTGGAGCTGCGTTGGTGAGGATCTCAGCCCAGAGCCGCCGAATCGCCGACACACATCCACGTTGAGCAGCTCCGCGGCGAGCAGCCTGTTTCTCTTGGACGATCATCGGACCAGCTCGATCTACACCGACTCTTCCGAGGATATAGCGAGTTTAGGTGGCGGTGACTCCTGCTGGGAGGATAGGTTAAGCGGCATCGGGTCTTCCAGCAAGACCATCTCCAAGATCGTCGAGTATTTCGAGAGGAAGCAAGCGGGCAGCTTGCGACTCGCCGATCACGATGCCGGCTCTAGTAGGTTAACGTTGTTGAAGGCAAGCTTGGAAGGTCCTGTTCCGCTATGTAGTATCTCAGCCGCACAGAGGTTGGTCGTCTGCGAGGGTGCAGTGCGCAGCAAGTTGCCTCTGTTTGACAAAAAGTGATACGCGTCGCTTGTACGCCGTAGAGTTTGTTCCTTAGGATTTCTTAGTTATCTGCCGATGTTTCTGGACCGCGTGAAACGCACGCGCGCGGACGCGCCTACACGGAGGAACGCTTCGACACGACGAGCTGTTTCACAGGCAAGAATTACGGCAATATCGACGCGACAGAGATATTGGAGAGAAGAGTAGCGATCCGAAGGAAAATAAGAGTCGAACGATCTGGTCGCGCGCGACGAAAGAACTGGAGGGATCGAGGAATCGATTATATTTTTATTGGACTTTGGCGATCGAAGTGAATATTTGAAAATAGAGAGAACGAGGTCGGTATTTGCCGGATTCGAGCATCTGTGGTTCAAGTTCAATGAAAATACAGTCGAATACGAGTTCTTTATAGTCGAGACGCTTCTTTATAAAAAAAAAAAAAAAAAAAATCTAGTAACCCGACTGTGATCTTTTTTGATAATCTACATACATTATTGACCCATGCAACTATGTTCGAAGCTGTCGGCGCGACATTTCCTCTTCCGCGTGCGACGATCGTTAGACACTTCTTACCGCGTTAGTGCACTTTAAAGAAAAAAGAAAAGAGAAAGAAGAGAACTTTACACTGGATGCAATAGCCGATAAAATTCAAAACCGAAGATTCTTTCACTTTAGACACGCCGGGGAACACGTCAATAGTGTTTTGCACATCAATGAGAATGAAACGTTTCTTGCGTTGTCATTTTGCGATCTACTCGAGAATTTTCCAAATGCCAACCTATTTCCCTAGATACGTGCGTAATTTAATAGAAGCGGAGATAGAAGAGACTCGATGAAAGAAAAAAGCGAGAGAGAAGTTTAACCTTTCAAGGGGATCGAGAGAAGCAATACACGTTTCGTTTTGAGACTGCGGCAATCTCGAATGCCAGTTAGAAAACGCTGCTCATGTTCTTACCTTTTCGCAGTGCCTCGCAGTTCCTAATTAGCCACCTCCGTCCTTATCCACGACAGCTTAGCCGACTTTTTATCGATTACTAACGACGATCGAACGAAATCGAAACATGAGTCTACCGGTTGTATTCATATCTCTACCTTGAAAACGGTTTTCCAATGCGTTACCGATCCCAGCAATCGCCTCTTTTCACTTGATTGGTTTTTTTGTACGCGTTACTTTTCGCGCCGATATCGATGTTGGCATTGTTTCTCTTACAATTAAACGAGAGTGTCCGAGGTAAGCACCGAAAACTACGGCAATGTACAAACAGAAGGCGATATATTTTCTTATATAAACATAAATATTTAAAGAAAGAAATAATAATAATAATAAAAAAAATAAACGAAACTATTTTAATTTGAACTTTCAGTGTCAGACTCTTCACGTTAAGCTGAATCATTGTATCGTTGGCCGGCTGATTTATATCTTTCTTGTGTCCTTTGTATTGATTATTTGTCTGCGTGCCGTTTGAGTACTGCCGTCTTTTTCTTGTGCACAATATCGTGCAAGTTTGGCGAGATAGAAGAATTCGTCAGGGCCTATGCTGTGCTTATACGAGTTTTTAAGCAACACTTTTTGATCGAGCGAACGATACATACATACTTCCCCAGCGCACGACGCCTCGATACCGCGGTCGTACGTCGCGCGTCGTAGATTTAGTACTCAGGATGCGGAACGAGACACATAGTATATTTTGTTGACAGAGATACACGTGTCCTGAATATTTTTGTTGATATAAAAGAA